CTCCTGGAGATAGTGATACTTGGACCAAGTCACAAAGGATGAAGGGAACCTCTGGGATGAAGGTTTGTCAGGAGACCTGGCCGAGGGGATCTCTTTCAGGCAGAGGCAACTGTGTGTGCAAAGAGCAGAGGTGAGAGGCAGTGTGACCAGTGGGGAACAGCGGGGTTCAGAGTGACTGGAGAGTTGAGTGTGAGCGTGTAACCTGTGTGAGATGAGGCTGGAGAGGTGAGCAAAGTCCTGACTGGGAAGGACCTCGTTCTAGTGTTTGGACGATATACTCCACACTATGATGGATTCTTTGAAGGACTTGATGGGGAAGGTGCTGCCATGCTTTGTAGAAAATATCAGTCTGGCAGCACATGGAGAATGGACTGGAGGGAGGTGAGTCTAAAGGCAGAAAAACAGACAAGAAGCTGCTATCGTGATCTGGGCTTGAAGTACGGTGCAATGAAGAGGTGTGAGGAGTGTTTGAACGCAGAGTGGGAACTAATCACGAAGCAAGTGGTCTCGAGCAGAACTCAGGAATGTCGCGACCAGCTTAGACCCGTGGGTGGCTATTAGACCAAGGGTGATCTTACCTGGACACGTGGGGAACAGGGCGAATGGGTCACTGGGTCACCCACCGAGACGCTGATGATGAGCGCAGTGGCTGGCGTTGCCAGCGAGCAGCCTCCCGTTTGGTCCTCAGCAGTCTGGGAGGAGGTGCTAATATCATCACCCCACTGTTTACTTTAGGAGATCAAGGCTGTGAGAGGAAGACTCCTGGGCATCACACGGTGGCAGCAGGATTCAAATCCACTCTGCTGGACCCCAAACCTCACTTTCTTCACTCCCAGACTTGCAGGCTGTAGAGGATGGGTGGGGCTGGGAGGGAGACTTGCCTCTGTGGCCTTTCAGAACGTGATACGTATTCATGGTGGAGGCCTCCCCAAAATATTTCTTGGTTATAATACAGTTATAGTTGAAAATCTGCCCTGTGGGAAATGGGACTTAAATTCTTTGGATTCTGGTTTAACTGCATGTATCTTCCCTCCTGCCATAGCCTTTAACAGGGTGGAGGTAGGGCCATGCTTATATCTGTAGACTCATGGTTTGTTTTATTTATTTATTCACTTATTTATGTTTAATTTTTAATTGAAGCATAGTTGCTGTACAATATTATATTTGTTACAGGTGTACAACATAGTGATTCCCAATTTTTAAAGGTTATCCCTCCATTTATAGTTATTGTAAAATATTGATCTATATTCCCCGGGTTGTACAATATATCTTTGTAGGTTATTTTATTCACAATAGCTTGTACCTCTTAATCCCCTACCCCTGTCCGGTCCCTCTTCTTGTCTCTCCCCAGTAGTAGCCACTAGTTTGTTCTCTGTGAGTCTGCTTCTTTTTGGTTATATTCACTAGTTTGTAGTATTTTTTAGATTCCACGTATAAGTGATATCATACAATACTTATCTTCCTCTGTCTGACTTATCAGGAAGCAACCTAAGAGTCCATCAACAGATGAATGGATAAAGAAGATGTGGTATAAATATACAATGGAATACTGCTCAGGCATAAAAAAAGAATCAAATTTGCATTCACAGCAACGTGGATGGACTTGGAGGACATTA